ATGCATGACTGGAGGTAAGGCCAGCAAGACATTCTTTGCCATTTACACCCACATGCATCATTGCATGCATGGCTGCTTGCAAGGCCAGCAATGCCTTGCCATTCATCTCACACACATGCATCAGTGCATGCATTGCTGGTTTTAAGGCCAGCAAGGAATGCCATGCCATTCATTTCACACACATGCATCATGGCATGAATGGCTGGTTGTAAGGCCAGCAAGGAATGCCGTGCCATTCATTTCACAGCCATGCATCATTGCATGCATGGCTGGTTGTAAAGCCAGCAAGGAATGCCATGCCATTCGTTTCACAGCCATGCATCATTGCATGCATGGCTGGTTGTAAGGCCAGCAAGGAATGCCATGCCATTCGTTTCACAGCCATGCATCATTGCATGCATGGCTGGTTGTAAGGCCAGCAAGGAATGCCATGCCATTCATTTCACACACATGCATCATTGCATGCATGGCTGGTTGTAAGGCCAGCAAGGAATGCCATGCCATTCATTTCACACACATGCATCATTGCATGCATGGCTGGTTGTTAGGCCAGCAAGGAATGCCTTGCCACTTTCACAAACACACATCATGCCATACATGTGCAACTTCCCCTATCCCTTTTTATTTCAACGTCCAGGCTGAAAGGAACAAAAACCCTGTTCTCACGGCGACAAGCACAGCCATGACACTTCCACATGTTGTTGATGGTCGAAAAGCAGAGAAACTCTGGCAAGGGCTGTTGGAGCAACACGGCAGCGCCATGAACGATATCACAATAGCCCTCGCTGAACGTGGCATTCGAAATGACATCGTCCATGTAAGAAAAACACTTCACCTACCATGACCACCATTATGCGCAGTGTTATTCTAAACTCTGTCACTTTTATATTGCCGACGTTGAAGTTTGTATTTCCCGAAGAATGAGACTGTTGCATTCGCCATCCCAAACTTTCTCGTCCTATGCAGGTGCATTCTGCAGTTGCACTCCCAAGGAATGATTTGAACGGTGCTCACTATGCAAGGGCAACCGTGGCTTTCCATGGGAATCCATGGTTTTCCTATGTAGCTCTGGACGGGAGTACGGTCAGTAACCGTACTCAAGGGGGGTCAGATGTTGTGTATGCCCAGCTCCTCATGCTTTTCCATGTACAAACCAGAGCTGGACGGGAGATAGAGAAACAGCCACTCGCGTACGTGAAGCTCCTGGACGTGAGAGGAGAGGACGAAGATACAGCCTTCGTAAAATTGGCCTGCTGTCGTAGGGCTGATGCCTATCGCGTCGTGCACATTGATGCCATCTTGAGGGCTGAGCAAGTAGTTCCTCCTTTTAAGAGGACCACGCTGAAACTATTGAACCCGTATGCGTGGTGATGATAATGCTTCACTGGATGGTGCGGTAGCTTCTGATACTCTATACCAGGTACTATAGTGCAGGTTGTATTTGGAAAAGTAGTCGCATTTATTACGACTCACTGTCTATAGCCCTGCCCCCCTTACCCCGGTTGTTTCCACCTTGTTTCCACCATTCCCTAACAATGCATCTAAACATAAGTAGCAGAAATAATTATGTAGTGAATTTAAAGTCTGAAAAATCACAACAGACAAGATCAGAGTGTTTAACTGCTTTAGTTACGCATGCAAATCAACCCAATAGAATATGTTGGTGTCAATATAAGCTGTGTACAAAATTCATGCACATAAGAACAAGAAATTTCAATAGCAATCATCACTGTACACTGGAACGGAGATGCTCTTGTACGGGTCACGTATCTACATTTGTGCCAAACCTTTTCAAAGCCGCTGCTTCTTGGAAGGAGTATTTCGAAAACCTAAACTTACCGAGCAGTAGGTTCGAATCGAATGTCCAATAGAAATCATTCGAAGGGTCTCAAAGGAAGTTTCGTGGATCTGGTGGAAAGCGTTCGACCAATAAAATCGCTCGCGAGGATCTGGTCGAAACTTTGTAGTTGATGCAGCCCACTGATTCCCGAGCCGCTAACCCCGAAATGCTACATGCGGGTAAGTTCTTGAGAGTTACTCTCTCGCAAACCCTAGAAAAGCTGCCACCCCGACCCCACGCATTTTGGGATGGAGCTCCGGCAGACCTAGCGACAAAAATGTTAGCGCTGGTAGCCCTCCGAAGCTTTCAGGCAGGCTGGTCATTTTTCCCCGGGAGATTGGCAACCTCTGCAGGGAGGTGAGCGAAGTGAACCCGTCACGCAGATTGGCGAGATATTCGCAATCGCTGTTGGTCAGCTCACGGAGACATGGCAGCAGCACTCCAATGTCGTCAGGAAGACTCTGGATCTCAAAGCTCTTGCCGAGAAACAGTTTTTCCAGGCTGCAGCATGGCTGACTCAACGGAAACATGAGGTCGAACCGCGGACTTCCCGCTTTCAGCTCCAGCGACTTCAGACACGGAAGTTGTGCGATCGAGAAAGGCGTCACCGAGCTTCATTGCAGCAGGAGAGACTGGTGAGTCCTAAGAGAGAAATAAGACCCGATATCTGTAACTGATCGATAAAGTCGTCACCCTTCTCTACGGCAAGAGACGCGAGAGAAGACAGGTTGGTATAGCTGGGAGCCTGCCGAGCCGAGTTACCGGTCAGAGCTAGAGTGTGAAGATTGTTCAGCCGAGAGAAACTTGGTGGTAGCTTGGCGTTTTGATGGAGGCAGTAGAGCGACAGGTGCTGCAGTTGAGTGCAACGATGGAAGAGTTGATCCAAGCCTGCTTCGGTCACCGGGTGCTCATCCTTCCTATGGGATGATCCGTTACTCTGCGTTATCTCCTTTCCCACATGGAGAGCCTTCAGCTTAGGGCACGATGCAGCGAGGTGAGCGAGGAAGGCATCGTCGAGGGTCTCAACGCTGTTGTCGCTCAGATGGACATGGGTGAGGCACGGGAAACTCTTAACAGCGGCGGTCAGGTCGCGAAGGGAAACAACTTGGCGATCTCTCACGAGCAAGGTGGAGACGCGATTTCGAGCGAGATTACGCCATCTTCGGTAGACGGATGCGATAAGAAGGGTAAACGCGGCGTCTGCGGAGGCGGGAGGGGTAGATAGAAGCGATTCATCGCCATACGGCCTTTCGGAGGTATACGTCTGACTAGGAGACACGGAGGCCCCCGGATAACTGCCTTCGAGTTGGCCAGAAACCGGCTCGGGACACCATATTATCTTGACTAGGAGATCGTCTGGCAGATCGTTAATTGTGCTAGCCGTCGTATTCCTAACAACGGGTTGTGCGCTGGAGACTCGGCGGAACTTTGAACGCTTTACTAGCTTCATTATGTGGAGATTAGCAGTTGTGGAAACTCAGTAGCACTGGTTGCGCTGGTAGCACAGCTAGGGTTAGAAGCTCAAAACTTGAAGACTTCCTTCCGCAATCAAGCCTTACCACTCCATCGCGCGGTCGCAGCAAAGCTGGGGAAGGGGTCTTGGAGAGCCTGGCGAGCATCGTAAGCACGATCATGTAAGAGCGGTTGAGGTTTGTAACGGTTCATTGGTTTTGAACGAAGACGAAGGAAAACGAACTACAGTTCCTAGCGGCTTGCGTTCACCTGTCATGTTCCCCTGAGCAAACCAAGTTTCAATCGCGAAATCCGAACCTGTTCTCAGAAGCGTCACGGCTTCTGCCGCGCAGACTGGTCAAGCCACAGACCACAGTTGTCTCTCAGGGCAAGTAACTCTTTCGTTTCGTATACGCACCGTTCGCAAACGTCCCGAATTTCGTCGCACACCGTCCGGACTTTCTATGAATTTAAAAATATTACACGCCCTTACCAGCTGCGAGATTTGAGAGATCCTAAGGGCACGTGTGGTCTGTTTAGAAGTTCAAAATAAAGTTCGAACTTTGGGTGGTTACCCTATTCGCTAATTTCGCGAAGGGTGCTTCGCGAACCAAGCATTGTATGGGCTCTGCAAAAGTTCGAGTTTGAAATATGAACTTGACTCGAGTCGGAAGCGGGAACGTGCGTACGCACGTTCATGCGAGCGTGTGTGACTTGCAGCATGCCCGAACAGCTGGCGAAACGAGCGAGCGCTTCGCCAGTGTATGAAGTTGCACAACGAAGACACCCCACAATTCGTGCACACAGTGGTAGCGACATGTCTAGCATCGTGGCACGTTCGAGCACAATGTGGCAACGCGTCCCGCCCGTCTTGACGTCAGTCAAAGAAACTCCCGCCCTTGCCCAATCCAAGTCCCCCATGCCAAATGTCTCTGGGGCGTGGGAGAAAGTGTAGCCGAAGTGAAGCCCAATTTCGCGAAATGTGAGACCATGCCCAAGCCTGCTAAGTCCCATGGCGACGAATACAAAGTTATGCACATGATGCTTAAGTGTAGCGAAACGGCTGCGCTGATACTGGCGCACTAAGTAAACAAAAACGCGTTTGTCAACCCGCAAATACTCATAGAAATTGTCCTCGAGCAAGGATGTTATTAGTCGAAACCAACGCACATGTGCGTCAAGGCGGTCGCCAAGCACGAACACCCGGGTCTGCCTGAGAGTAAAGGCCGAGACGAGCGTGGGGAGTGCCGTGCCAACAGCGTTGAGAACGGGAAGCATCACCATCTGCAAGTACAGCTAATGCTCGTTAGAGCCCCTCCCGGTTACCTTGTGAAGGGGGTCTGTATGCTAAACCGACATTTTGTATGGGGTTCGCTTGTTTCGTCAGGCTTTGTGCGTGCATCTAACCTGCACACGGTTACCACCCGATTTGTCCGTTCCGGAACAGTGACGGGTGGCTCTAATTGTCACAAATGCGCGTTACTGAATACTTCACGAAAGCAAAAACAAGTCACCATACAGCGTCTACAATTGTTCAACTTAGATTGAAACAACCAACACTCAAAGCCTAACCAATCATCATCTCCCACATGGTCACGCAGCCCCAACCTTGACACACATCACCACATGCACAAATGTGCTGCGGGGAGAACAATCCCAACACAGCATGGATGTCTTCGACGCCGGCACAGAGGGCTGGAAAAACAGCTCACAGGCGCATCCACTCAGCCGCCTCAACGTACCCGCCCATGGCGGCGCCAACACCGTCGTCTAGCAGCTGCTGCCGGCGGGATGGCTGGGTCATCCAGCCAGGCAGCACACGGCCGTGCGGACGAGGGGTGTCGGGCGTGGGCGTTGAGCCCGGAGTGAGCACGGGCGGCGGGGCCATGTTGAGATTAATGGCGGGGCTTGCCCGCTCCTTGCGCTCGATGATGACGGGATTGCGTATGTCGAAGAGGTGGCAGAGGTCGCGCGGCGTCACACTCACGGCGCGCGCATAGCCGATGAGCATCTCACAGGCCGCCCGGGCAGTGCGGCGTGCTTCATGGCCCACGGGGTCCGCATCGTCGTACACCACCTGCATCGTGGTCGGCGCCCTCCATAGCGTCGCCACCAAGGCCGCTTCCGGCTCATGAGTCAGAAGATCCGCCGCGGTCTCAACAAATGTTGGCTCACCGTCGTCGATCGCGACGTATTCCGCGGCGGTCATCGCGCTGTTCCCGAGACCGAGGGAGCTAATGAGAGTTCCGACGTCGTTGATGTCTTCGAGCTCGATGTCGGGATAGGGATCCAGGGTCGGCTCGTCGTCGTGAACATGGGTCAACTCCAGGGACCACGACAGCGGCAGGCATCCAGGGCGCCACCAGCACCTCTGGATGGTGCGCGCACCGACGCTCATCCATGCGTCCGAGAGCCACCCCAGGACGTTGCGGAGGTTGGGGCGGTACCGTGCGACGGCGCTCGTCGCACCGTCGTCGTTCCACAGTGCCGTGAAGGCCCGCAGCCAGTGCTGGTGGTAGCGGGCCTTCGCAGTGGCAATTATGCCCTGATTGAGAGGCTGTGTGAAGGCAGTAGTGTTCGGCGGCAGGAAAACGAGGCAGACGTTGCTCACGCACGTCGTCCTCATGCCGCAGACGTACTCGCTCCAACCACACTCGTCCCGCAGCATGTGCGAGCTCGCATTGTCGAGAAGGACCACGATGTGGCGTCCTTCAGCATACATCACAGCATTGAGCTGCGATATAAAGTGAGTGAACAGCTGTAGATGGGGTTCGGGGTGGGAAGGGGACATTCCGTGGGAGGCATATTTACACACAGTTGTGAATGCCAACTAAAGTACAAATGTTGGGCGTATCATGGCGCCCGAATACACAAGCACAATCGCTTACCGGAGCGGTCATCCAACCCTTGGCGTTGTGCCGCCAATAGCAGACGGCTTCGGGGTCGTAATCCGGGCGGAAGTCGTGGGGGCGCCTCGCCTTGCTGATGACCAACGGCCGGAATGTGTGGCTCCCCTCTACGTTCACGAGAAACGCCACGGTTAGGCGGTCCTTGGAGATTTTGCGCCCTGGTATGCGGGCGTTGCTCTAAGTCCTCCGCGGCAGCACAGACAGCCAGAGGGCTATCTCGTCCAGATTGTAAGTGTCGCGCGGGCTGAGGCCGAGGTGCGTGAGCAGTTGCGGCAGCTTGTCGCGGGCGTCACGCACGGCAGCCATGTCGGCGCTGGCAGCCTCGCGTGCCGATGCACGACATCTAACCCCCTGGCGCCGCAACGCACGGCGCACCCAGCCAATGGAGCAGCGGAAGCCGGGCGGAATGCCCATGTTCCGCGCCATTGTCGCAACGTGGTCGCGGATCGTCTGCAGCGTTAGAGGAACGCCAGCGGGTCCGGCGTTTGCAATCCAACGCGCCATGGCCTGTTCCAGCTCAGGCCACGCGCCACCTCGACGGCGAACATGGTTGTCGCCCGTAGCCGTGACAGCCCAGCGTTCGGCGCTTTTCAAAATGCGGCCGACGGTGGAGCGGTCCGGACGCAGGCCGTATTGAGAGAAACACCAGCGGGCGAGGTCAATGTGACGGAGGCGCGGGTTTTCGACATGATGAAGGCATAAGTCGCGCTTGACATGCAGCGGAAGCTGCTCGCGACGATTCAATCGTGGCATGGTGGGAGGCTGGGGTGGGTGAGAACGATGCTCAAGTGAATTTGTGGGGCGGATTTTAAACTTGGTTGGATGAGGAGGCGGAGCATTGCTCGGGCCTGTTCTGTGTCCCTAATTCTATTCGTGTGGCTCTTGTTCGTTCCATGCACATGGCTGGCAAAGTCGATCGTGCGGTTGGGTTACCAGATGGTCGAAAGTCTGACGTGGGGTAGGCGAACAACGCCTGGCTATTAATGCGCTTGTACCCCGCTCATGCAGAGTACACGTGGCAGCGTGAATCGGCCCAAGTGTATGTTACACGCACGATGATCCTAGCTTAGGTGGCGGGGCAGGTGTGCGAATGCGTTCACGAAACCACGGAGTTTTCGTCCATTCGTTTCGCTTGCCTGGCTCCTGGCCTAGAAACAAGGCAAACATGGGTCGGCAGGCCTTGTTGTGGACTGCACGTGTGTTGTGGGCCGGACCGCGTGGACTGTAGTTGGCCATCCATGTGCCTGTACTGTGGGAGCAGCAAGCAGGGGTTTCGAGCTCGGGGGCAACGTTTCCATCCGGTGCATGGCAAATTCGCGTGCACTGGTCGGGCATCAATTGTACCCCTGCCATACAATGCCGAGAAAGCGGACCAGCTGTAGGGTTGTCACGTTGGGCGAATGACGAGTATACAAGGTGTTGCCACGGGGGCCATTTGTACCCTGGTTACACACTCGGCGCGGAAGGTGAGTTGGAGCTCTAGGTCCTTGTAAAGCGAGGCGCAAAATGTTGACGTGGCGCACTGTCAAGACGAGCGAACCGGGTAACCTATGATGTTGACGTGCGGCTCGGCTCGTTTTTACAAGTTCGAATGTCGGGGTTCGACCTTGTATGTGTGTGTGATTTTTTACAGTGTGGTAAGCCCGATGATCTAACTTCGATAGAAGGAAATTAGAACTTCTTTCGTTGTAAGTTCAAAACTAAAATTCGCCCTAAAAACATAAACTTGTACAAATTTCAAAGACCACACGCGCCCTAAGTCGCGACCACCTTCGCCTGCAGCGCAAAATGAGAGTGGGTGTGAAGCCATGGCGGCTTAGCCTTTGCCAGGTCGAATTGGAAGAGGAATACCTTTTTGGCTGCTACATTCGATCCCAATGCCTCTTGAGACTATTGATTCCGTGCCACACGAGGCTCACGGGGCTGCAGGTCCATTTTCGTGCTGTTGCCGTCCATCCTTGGCTGGCTCAAGCCGCTTGTTCCCGTGATAGTCGATGCGAATGCGGTGCCGTGACCCTCCTCTCCTTCCCAAACCGCCTACAGAGACATTTGTCGTCCCTGTCGCTGATCACGAAGTAGGTTTATTCGGAACTCCTATGTTCCTCGCGTATATGTGATCATGACCGCGGCTGTGGCTTGACGGCAGCATCGCTGCCTCTGCGGCACATCGCAAACGAAAGCGGAGAGCCCTCACCGACATCAACCATCGAGCGAATGTTGAATCTAAGAATGCCGGCTTCAATTTTTGGAAAACGACTGGAAATCCGGAATCGCGGATCGACGACCGATAGCGGATCGTAGGAGCAAAGGCGGATCGTACAAACGAAGGCGGAGGTTGGTTCTCCTGTTGGTGGCGGCTCGACGACCAATTTTTGAAGCCTTGGGTTCCGCAAACTTGATGGATCACGCGAAGTAGGCTTGATATGGATGATGAGAAGGAAGACGGATCGGGAGCAGGAGTGGCGGAGTCAGCAGGCGCTGCGGAGGCGGCGAAGCGGGCGGGGATACGGACAAGCAGCTCAAGCGGCGTTTGGCGGCAGCACAGGCGACAACGGGGAGAGCGGGAAGGAGAGCGATGGTGAAGGGGGGGCTGCTGATGGAGCTGGCTGGTGGGCAATTGACGAGCCCGAAGCCGGCAAGGTGAGACGCTCTGAGGGGTTGAAACGCGTGTGAGATTCCGGAGACTGGTGAAAGGGGATGAAAGAAGGGGGGTTGAAGGAGGGGGGGTGAGGGAAGGGATGAAGGAAAGGGGGATGGCGGAAGGGGGGATGAAGGAAAGGAGGGTGAAAAAAGGGGGGGTGAAGGAAGGGGGGGTGAAGGAAGGGGGGGTGAAGGAAGGGGGGATGAAGGAAGGGGGGATGAAGGAAGGGGGGATGGAGGAAGGGGGGGTGAAGGAAGGGGGGGTGAAGGAAGGGGGGTGAAGGAAGGGGGGGGTGAAGGAAGGGGGGGTGAAGGAAGGGGGGGTGAAGGAAGGGGGGGTGAAGGAAGGGAGGGTGAAGGAAGGGGGGGTGAAGGAAGGGGGGGTGAAGGAAGGGGCTGAATTTCCTACATTTCCCCCTTTCCCCTATCTCCTATCCCTTACCCCTATCCCCAATTTCACAACTCCCCCCTGTTGAATCCATGCGCGCCGATTGGAATGGTTGGGCTAGCGATGTGCGTGCGGTGCGCAGGCATCATCCCGGCACATCACGGAGTCAAGCAAAGCCGGACAATCATCACACCACGCCTCACCGGGCCGATGCAGCACCGCATTGATGCCTCACTCTCGCCGCTGCCGGAAACGTAATGAATGCCCCCCACCCCCTCAAGCTGTTCACGTGCGTCTCCTACAAGCCCACTTGCCACACGCCTGCCTGCCTGCCCACCATGTGTCACACACCTGCCTGTTTGTCACTTGTCACCCCCATGTCAGAACCCTCATGGACTCTGCCTTGTCCTTGGCATCAGCTGTTGCCAGCTCACCTGATCACGCGTGCTGCCCTTCCCACCATGGCATTACTCCGTTCTGTCCTTCCCTGCTCCCTCCCTCTCCCTATCCCCTCCAGATCCATCCGCCCTTCAGCTCCGCGCCTGATATTCCTAGCTGATTTCTGCCTCAGTACATTCACTGCACTGACTCCCACCACTTGTCTTACGATCTCGGTCCCTACTGCACTGCACCGCGACATGGTTCTTCTTGCCTCTGCACACCTTTCCCTCCGCTTCCTACAACCTCTCCCTCCCCACCTCCCTCACCTTCCCCCCACACCAGCATAGGCGCTTGACCTCAGAGCGCAGGCGCACTGACTGCCTGGGCAACCTGCGGGTCACAAGCAGGTCAGTTGCGGGTCAGTCTCGACTAACTCTGATTCTAGGTCACTTTTGGCTCACGCTCCTGTCATTTTCATGTCACTGTTGGTGTTGTATGCCCTGCGAATGCCATGGTGTTATTCAAGGTGGCAACGTGGGACTAATGGTGACCAATATTATGCATCACTGCTCCCTCCTCTCCTTAACTAGTGCCCTCTCTTCTTCTAGTCAACCTCCAGATGCGCATATCAGCTGTCGCTCTGTATCAGTGCCCCCCATTCGCATTTCCACCCCCAATCCCACCCCCATTCCCATCCCCATTTCCATCCCCTGTCCCGTCCCCTCTCCCCCCATCGTCTTCCACTTGTCCATCCCCATCCCCTTCTCCATCCCCATCCCCATCACCATCCTCTTCAACGTCGACAGATGAAATGGTGCAGCAAGTAGCCTGCATCATTCGCCACTCTCATGGCTCTCTCCGTTTGCCCCTCTGTTCCCCACTGCCCCCCTCCTCCCCTCTCCCCTCCCCAGGTGTGCACAGTGTAGCAGCCAGTAAATCTCCGCTCCCCCGCCAGCTCTGCACTGCACCTGCGTCTCCAGCACCCACGTCTGCCCCAGTGCACGGCACGGACTCGGACCCCACAAGCGAGCACACTGTTCACCAAGGCACCATCCCGCCCCGTCCCCATACCCTCTCCCTCCGCCCCCTCCTTCCCCACCCCTCCCAGCTCCGCACCTGTTTCTCCCGTGCCAAGTCTGCACAAATTCTCACCCCTACCCCTATGGTGTGGTGTCTATGCCCACCCGCTTACTCTCCCATTCCCGCCTCCTCCAACCCAGTCCATGTCTACCGTTTCCGCGCCGCACCTGCTACTCGTGCACCCATTCCTGGCCCATGACTTCCCTCCCCTGCAACATGGGCGCACTGTTCAAGGGAGAATCCGCGGGCTGCTGGGTGCACTCCTTGCCAGGCGGCAACGCACCTTCCCGTTCGCTGCCCATTGCCCTCTTTTTTCCCCCCCGCGCCCCTCCCTCCACCAGCGCCGCACCTGCTTCTCCTGCGCTGATTTCTGGCCCTCTTTCACCTGTGCCCTACAACTTGGGCGCACTCTTCACGGGGAACCTGCGGGCTGCTCAGTGCACTCCTCAAGGAAGTGCTCTGTCAGGGAGGTGGCAGCTCAGGCGCGAAAGCGGAGAGGCGTGAAAGTGGAGGAATGTGAAATGGTGTGGCTAATCTAGACCAGAATCTAGTCTCCATAATCCATGGGTCAAGGTCCGTTATGCACCACGAGCCATGGCACGCGAGTGAGTACTATGTTCAGCCATGCACCATGATGCATGGATCGCTACTGCTGATGCCTCTCACGCTCACCCTATGCCTTTGGCGTAGCATTGACGCCGCATAGCATGGCCTTGTAAATTGGCTCACACGCACACACACACCGCCCAAGGCCTAACACCAACTGTCTGCCCACTTCTCAGTTACCGACTCTTAGTGTTCAAATGCACGGGCATGGTTGGGGATTATGGTCCCCGTGGGCATGGTTGGAGCCATAAGCCGTGAGCCATGATGATATGCCATTGGTTTCCCAGAGCATTGAGCCATGAGCTGTCAGCCATGAGTTGATGTGTTGCCATTGGTTGCCCAGGGCAATGCTCTCCTCATCACCTGCCTTGCATCAGTTGTATGGTTGGTCTTGGTATGTCATAACCTGTGGCATACAAACAAAGAGAAATCATTCAATAGCTGTGTCTTTTAGCCCACCGACTCCTGCCTTTATCACTGACTGGCTCCCACATCTCACTCATACACCACTGTGCTGTTTACCCTCTCCCTCTCCCCTCCATCAACTCCCTTCCCCCTCAGCTCCGCAACTCACACACCCACTCATGGCCCAGCATTCGTGCGTCTACAGCATGGGCGCACTGTTCACAGACAACTTGTGCGTTGCTCAGTGCACTCGGAGCTGCTAAGGGGGAGGCTTCAGGCGATGTTGGGCTTGGCTATTGGGTACCCAGATGATTGCCCACCTACAGTCAACCATCTGCCACCTACAGTCACCCATCTACCACCTACAGTCACCCATCTGCCACCTACAGTCAACCATCTGTCACCTACAGTCACCCATCTGCCACCTACAGTCACCCATCTGCCACCTACAGTCAACCATCTGCCACCTACAGTCACCCATCTGCCACCTACAGTCACCCATCTGCCACCTACAGTCACCCATCTGCCACCTACAGTCACCCATCTGCCACCTACAGTCACCCATCTGCCACCTACAGTCACCCATCCTGTCATCGCACCTTCAGGCACCACATCTCCCTCCCATCCACGACAGTCTCATATGCTGTCACCCCATGCCCCCTCCATCCACACGCCTGTCAGCCCTACTGTGGTGCACATATATTTGTCCTGCATTCCCACTCTTCCTCTTCCTGTACTCCCCCCACCCCTCATCCCTTACACCCCCCCTTCTCCTCCCTCCTTTTCCTCCACTGTGGATGGTTGATGGCGGCTGAAGAGTAGCACCGTACCCCAATCGACTTTCACAAAACCTTTCACTCTCACCCCCCTCAGCCCCAGCTTCTGTTCCCCTCCCCTGCTCCTACTATTTTGTTCAACCCCGCCATTCCTTCCTCGTTCTCTCCGAAAGGGAGGGGCCGAAGGGGTGGACATAGATGGGGGAGGTACAGAGGGGGAGGGACTGAGGGGAAGGGGCAGAGGGGAAAGAGAGGTGGAGAAACAGAGGGGAAGGTTGTAGGGGCGGAGACAGAGGGGATGACACAGTGCGGAAGGGATAGAGGGGGAAAGACTGAGGGGGAGAGGGAAGGTACTGAGGGAGAGAGCCAGAGAAGGAGAGACAGAGGGAAAAAGAGAGAGGGAAGGGGCACATTCCTACCGTCGCGCAATCACAATCTACTTACTCTCCTTCCCTCTCTTGCTCACCTTTTCCTCCCCTCTCGTCCACTGTCCTTCCTCACCCCTCTCGCTTTTTCCTTCCCTATGTGCCACTCTCATCCCTCCACTCTCTTGTTCGTGCCTTCAGCCAACTGTCCGCCTTCCTATCCTGTATCCTTTCCATCCCCACCGCACACCACCCATAATCCCACACATCGTCCCATCCCTTCCCGTACCCTCCATATTCATTCCACTCACTCGACCCTTCTGCACCCCCTTCTCATCGCGTTTACCATGGAGATGGTGCCTCGACTGAGTGCCTTAATGATAATAAGATGATGAGGTTAGATGGTGATAGGATTTGAGCCCGAGTTTTTTACTGGAAACATTATCATAGGTACCATATTGGATTATAACGTTTGTTTTGGAACAGCAATATGATAAATATTGTGTAATGATCAACTAACGTAATCCCCATATTGTTGATGCTATTTTATTGTTTGAACGTTTATGTACCGTATCTATATTTCCTCATCGTTTCTCTTGGGATCACAATCGAGGATTGAGAATTTGTGTGGCGAGCGCTGTAGTTCCTCGCCACTTCGTTCGCCCCACGCAACTTGCCGAAATTCCCAGTTCGGGGTGGGAAAAGATCAAACAGGGGCCGAACAGTGCCGGAGGATTTCAAAGTAGGGCCAGTAAATCTCGACCGTAGGATTTCAACCCAGAGCTACCCAAACGACTAGGCGAACAAGCCGAACCGTGAGTAAAAGGGATTTGCTAGAAGAACCGATTTGTGTACTCAATTGATTTATTTAGGGTTTTTACCTCTGTCTACTACAACGCGCGCGTCGCCTTCTTCTAGAAGTAAAATTCGGCGGGTCAAATCATGAGTGCGTATAACATATTACATTCTGGGTGATACATATCACCTAACCGATCGTAAACGCACAGGAAAATAATATATTACCCATTCGGAAACGGATGCGACTCGGGAGGCATCAACCCTAAATACCAGGAAGTATTCCGTTTTTGGGTTGATCCGTCCCGAAAATGAATCCAGGTTCTCTATGAGTTTAGTTTTTTTGGCTGCCCTAAGAGTTCCCAGTAGATTCGGCTCGCTAAACGACACGCGAGCGAGAACGCAGGCTGGTACATGCCACTAATAACATAATGACGTGCAATAAACGAAGACCCTATGTTAATTTCTCTTTGCGCAACGGTTTGGTAAGTTTCGGGCCTCTCGGCCCTTGGTTGATCACCCCTCTGGCACTGTTCGGCCCCTCGTTGATCTTTACCCGTTCGGGATCTTGAAATTTGGAAACCAACCACAAGTCTCGAAACAACATTCTACGTCATCTTTGACAATCTGTCTTATCGGCGATCGTGTGTCAGCCATGGCAACATCAAAGCTAGTCTCAGAACAACAATCTAGGTCCTCTCGAGACGATCAAGGTTACATCAGTAGGCACCGCGTTGATTATTATTTCACACTTGATTAGTCTTCTGCGAAACCGGGTGGTTCGATCCCGCTTTCTATTGGACTTGGTTTCCCGATCCATGGCAATATCCAGTGTGTTCAGACGACACATCGACGGCCCTGGGATGGCAGCAGCTTATGCGACAAGGATGAGTTGTCAAGCACTTATCTACCCCATGAGACTGAACGTGATTGGGTGGTTGGATTTTTTCCCAGAACGATGGTCACAATTGAAGGAGCCTCCGCTGCCTCGGGCATTGGCGGAACGCGTCGCACGGCGTCGCATGAATCCAAACCGTAGCATGGGTGGGAACCGTTGCCTGATGACAAGCATGTTTCAGCTCTCTCAAAGCTTTAGCTTAGTCGGTGATCACATAGTCTCGTCGGACTTCAGCCAGCGACCAAGGGAGCTCTGTTACTGGCCTTCCCGTTCCACTGAAACCGACAGATCTGAATGAGAAGTTGTGCCTCGACTGAAAACTAGCAATTTGACTCGAATCCTGCAGCTCCTGTCATGGCTTTCGAGAGTTCAGATCCCATCTAACCTGTCGAACCGTGGATCTCGCGGTCGTACAAATAGCAGTGGCGAGTCGGCGGGATGCGCCTCGAATGAAACCTCTCTATTCGGTACCATTAGCATTAGCTTCGGAATTAAGCCGACTAGTAACGCACACGTAGATGTCTCTCTACATACTGACGAACTTCAGTTTCCGGCTCTAAACCGACTGTTATAGTCCCACCTGCATAAGTGCTGCCTGCCATGCGAGACACGTCAGCAGCATTCAGGACACGATAAAGCGGCTGCGAATTTGAGGCAACAAGTTCGTTTCGTTGCTCTTGGGCAGCAAAGTTTGCCCTTTCTTCTGGCTTGACCGTTGAGCAAACCAACTCAGTGCAGGTACATCCATCAATGTGTCCTCCTTCAAGGAGAAACGTGCATAGATAAGGGAGAGATGAAACCCGAGTAGTTCCGGGAAGCTCCCAGTGCTGGATCTGCTACTGATGTGCTGGACCCTCGCATTCGAATTTTGCTGCTACGTTTGATGGTTTTTTTATGGACCCCATCATGCCCAGTACTCAGGAAGACGAGACGCACAAGCCAATGAGAGGAGCCCTGACTGGATCTGGCGGAGCGGAGCTTGATTCCGGTGATTCTGCTGCTGGCAGTGGCAAGGAAAAAGGAGAGGGAGAGGATGGCGCCGTGTTGGAGCTTCTGAAGTTGGAAGGGCAGCTGAAGGATATGAACGCGTGGCTGGGGACACTTCAGCAAGGTGGAATAGGTCAGTCCATTCGAAAAAACGGAGGGGCAGCAGGGCAAGCGGATGAGCAAGTGGAAGAGGAAGAGGAAGATGAAGAGGAAGAGGAAGAGGATAAGGAAGAAGAGGAGGACTATGCTTTGAGAGATGCACGCTTGTCGCTGACCATTCAAACGTTGGAAGAGCAGGTTAAGACTACTGCGTTGCTGCAGTGGGCACCCTGCTCCAAAGGCCAGATTGACCAGGGTGAACCGGATCAGCACGATGAGGCAAAGGGAGGGGCAGCAGAGCAAGTGGAAGAGGAAGAGGAAGAGGAAGAGGATGGGGAAGAGGAAGAGGAAGAGGACTATGCTGTGAAAGAAGCACGCTTAACGCTGACAATTCAGAAGTTGAAAGAGCAGGTGAAGACTATTACGATACTGCAGAGGGCACCCTGCTCTGGAGTCCAGATTGACCAGGGTGTTCTGAGTCAACTCGATGAGGCAAACGGAGGGGCAGCAGAGGAAGCAAGAGTGGAGGGAAGTCGAGAGCGGATTCAGCTGCTGTCTTTAACAGATACGGTT